AAAAAAAAAAAAAAAAAAAAAAAAAAAAAAAAAAAAAAAAAGCATAAAGAATTTATATTCTTCATACAATTCTCTGTATATATAAGATGCTTATTAAGACAGGATCATAGAAATTGTACACAAAAAGATATCAGCAATCTCCTAGAGAAGAATGAACTGGTCAGGCCATAATATCTGAGAAATCTTATTCAAGCAGGCTATAAGCCTCTGGAGCAAGAGTATTATTTATACACTAGTGGTCATTCATATGCGAAATAACTACCTTCCAGCAGTCTACTTCAATTAAAGCTTTCATTCATTACTAACTAAACATACGCTTTGCTGAACTGGGACTCAGGGGAAAAGAAAAAGAAGAGCCATGCCACCTGGTCTACAAGAGTGCAAGTTTCAGCTTTAGGAAATGCTACAATTAAAGGAACTCTCACCTCCACTCCCTATGCTTCGTATACTGAGGTACAATAGCATGGGGATTATAAAATTGAATCATATAATAGTTTGGGCTGAATCTTAAAAAACATCTAGTTCCAAATGCCTGCCTGAGCCAAGTTGCCACACACTACATCGGGCCCAGAGCCCCATCCAGCCTGGCCTTGGAAAGCTTTCAGGTATAAGGCATTCACAGCTTCTCTGGGCGGTCTGCTCCAGCACCTCCCCAACCCAGATGAAAACTTTCCTCTTAATACTGAATCTAAATCTCCTCTTAGTTTTAAACCATTTCCCCTTGCCCTATCACTGTATGCCTGTGTAAAAAAATAGCTTCCATCTTTTTTTCTATAAACTCCCTTTAAGTACTGGAAGGCCACAATGAGGTCTCCCCAGAGCCTACTCTTCTCCAAGCTAAATAAACTAAACTCCTTCAGCCTTTCTTCATAGGAGAGGTGCTCCAGCCCTTTGATCACCTCCTTTTGACTTACTCCAACAGCTCTACATCCTTCTTGTGTTGGGGCTAGCAAAGCTGTAAATATTCCACCACTATAAAATTAGAATATAGAAGAATGAAGTACACCAGATTGGGAAACCATTTTGAAACATATTGATGGTTCTGGACAAATTACTATCTAGAAAAATAATTTATGCTCTTGCTAAGTACTTCGTGAAAGCATGTGCATTTGAAGAATTAAAAACTGCTATGAAGCACTCAAGTACAAATAGAGCAGACAGAGCAGTACAAGTGACACACCTAAACAGAATGGCCAGTTAGTGAAGGACATAGTTGACAGACCATCAGAAATACACACGTGCACACAAGACGTTCATTTGATGGAACATTTCTCCAGTATAACATTACTCCTTATTCAGTTGGAAGGAACATAATTAGAACAATTTGTCAACTATAGTGCTTCACAGGAAAGTAGATACAGAATTGCTTCATATGAAAGGCGATCATTTTACATTGATGTAACTAGATATGCACCTGTGTAAACTGCTTGCGCAGACAAGCTCTCAGCCCTGTTGAACTTGAGCTGCCAGAAAGCTAAGCCAAATTTTTTGTTTGAGCAGGAAACAGCTGGATTGGTGTGTTGTGTAACCTTTGGGTCTTGCAACTTGTCTCTTTTTACCGGATCAAGCTGTTTCTACACTAAGCTTTTGATATTTCTAGCCCGCAAAACACATTATATTTATTATATGAGCAGAGTCAGCATACCTTAAAACTCCTATGGTCAAAACTCAGGTCAATAAATAATTTCATTTTCCTTAATAGTCATTCAGCTTCCTCATAAAAATTCTGTTCCCACTAGCCTTACAGGATCCTCCTCCACTGATATATTCTTCACTTTGTATATAAACTTTCTTACACTGGGTATTGCTTGCTCTAATTTTTTGTTAATTTTTTTTTTCCCCTCCACATTCTGAACAAAACATGTATTACCCTTATAACTTCCCAAGTCTCACTACTGAGACATTCCAGTTTGGTTTTGCATTCCTAGACATTTTCATTTCAAAGGAGTATATGTTTTCTTTGACTGTAATGCTTTAATACTATTCCAGAACTGAGACTAGGCTCTCAATGTGAAAGCACAAATGTAAAGTAAATGTTACAGATGCTACACAATGAGAATTTAATATATTGCATCAAGCTCTAGCATATATCAACTAATCTTTTCTTTCTCAGAAAAGTAATGATGAACACTGAATGTTTCAGAGGTTTTAAACACCTCAAATATTTTACTTTCAGTTTTATCTGGAGATACAGAAGAAAGCAACATACCCACAGAATCTAACTCAACCAATGAAGTAGAATTTAAAGCATTTCTGCAATTCTGTATGTAGAGTTGCACCACAACTATTTCCAAGTAGTTTCAGTGAAGACAGCGGTAAGAACAGAACTTCAGTAAACACTGTGACATAAAAGAACCATTCTTTTCACAGAAGACTAGATTTATTAATTGGAGAGTGCTAATTACTTTAATCTTTTCTAACGTGCAACTTAAATGTGCAGAGAAACTCAACTGTGAGTTTTATAAGCTACCAGGTCCTTGTTTGGTTAAATGCATTTCCCATGCTGAATTTAAGATACAGAATACAGCTTATTAATTTCAAGGGCAATAAAAAATGAAGCTCCTTAATTATATAAAAGGCATACCTGGAGAGCTCCCATTTCCTCCTCTCTTCTGAGCAACTTCTCTCGTAGCTCTGTAAAATAAAAAATGAAACTCATAAATTCCCCTTCTTGTCTTATAGCCAGACACAAAAGGTACTATGTAAAATAGTCAGTGAGGTGTTTTGTTTTGTATAACATTTCTTTTAATCTGATTATACTAACTGATGAAGTATATCAGTGATACAGTTATTTTCAAGCATGACACTAATAAACACTCAAAAGATGATAGTTTAAGTAATTATAAGACTTATTTCCCTGTAGTTAAATCAATCTTTTAGTATATAGATTTGAATTTTAAAAATGAAGAAATTCACTCTGCAGAATTTCAAATTCTGAGTGTGGGTTTGGACAAGTGGTAGCCTTGCATGATTTCCTTGAGTATACTTCAGCATTACAATTGAGTTGGTAAAAATTAATGTCATAATAATAGCTTTAAAAAACAAAAGAGAGAGAAAATAAAGAGGAACACATATGTGTAAAGGGTGTGTGAAATAGAAGATTCTTCCACTTGACCAAAAAAGATTCATGTACTCAACTTCACTTTATTTGAATTATAACGCACCATTTGACATTCCATTTTAATGACATTATTGCTCTAAGCAAAAAGAATATTACTACAAGGTTCTTTTCAAATAAGTTTTATGAAAGGTAAACTGAAGAAACTTCTGCTAATGGTCTCTAGACTTGAAAGGTCTCTATCTGAAATTATTTATCTTCAGAATGAACTCCCTATACTGTACCACTGCCTAAATTGTCGATCCTGCAGAACACTTCATAAAATTCTGCACAAGAAAGGCAGATAGGTGATAAGGTGATGTAATTTAACTGATAATATGTTCCTACATTATAAATTTGCCCTTTATGACCATATATTTTAGAAACAAGTTTTGTATCAAAACTCATGATTCCATTTAATGCCTCATGTAAGAAAACAAAGATAAAGCAAAAAATAGATTAAATTAAATTAAAGCAACATATATTAAGCAGCTTTGTAAAAGTGTCTCTTAAAAATGCAGCATACTTCAACATTCTTTTAAATATGCCTACTCTCAAGGACAAAATATTTTTGCCTAGTTGACCTCAAAAGTTCAGTTTTACAAATTGCATGAAATGTAAAATATTTCCCATATTTAAATACTTATGGAAAAAAAATAATTAAAAAAACCAACAAAAAATATTCAGTTTCGGAAAATAACATTACAGTGAAAAGATAGAGAAATGTTGTGCCATAAGAAAAAGATAACATTAACAAAGATAATCATTATCCCCAGTGAAGGCTCCTTAAATTCATGCACTGAAAACTCTCTGAGTTTCTCTAATGACACCTTTCTTTCTTAAAGGCAGTGGCTCTGCGCCATGAGTTTCTACATTTTTCAGCAATCCTGCTGTAACTACCTTTCAGTCCAAGGTAACCACAGGGTTCCAAGTAATATATCTTCATTTTCATGGAGCACAGAACACATCAATTTATAGATTGTCTGGAATAATCAGCAGTAAAGGAAAAGCATTACAGAAGCTACATTGGGCATCAATGTTTCTTCCCAAAAATGGAAAAAGATGAGAGAAATGTTTTTTAAAAATAAATATATTAATCAACTATTTCCTATTTTTTATTTCTAGCTCAATAAGATGCACAAAATCCTATGATCAGTTATAAGCTAAAGTCATTCAAAAAATCAAACATCAGTTGCATTATTAATAGTCAAAATCAAGAGCTTGTCAGAATACCTTGTGAAAAATTAAGGATCATAGTTTTGCATAGTTCTACAGAATTAACAATGGTTACATGACAAATCTTCTAAGGTTCCTATCTCATTTAGCTGGAGCATCAGTGAACACAGGATGAGTTCCCTGACATCATACTGCAGGTTTATATTTATCCAATAAAAATTCCAGGAAATACAAAAGTTACGATTTAAAACATTCCATACCAATGACCTCCTTTCACAGTCTGTCTGATACAGAAACATAAAACATTGCAAAATTTTGCAAATATTAAACTAGACGCTATTAAATATATTCTATAGAAAGTTAGGATTTGCTGTTATTCAGAACTTAGACTAAAACATACAAAGAAAACGTAGTTCAACTCCTTTACACTGGAAGCAATAAGCTGGGAAACAAGATATTGAATCTATAAAACCCTGACAATTTGAATTAAAAATCAGAGGTTTATTTCAGAAAGACACTGAATAAATTATAATTTGGTATCTGTCAATTCACAACCTCTCTCATCAAAGAAGAAGGCACAAACACAAAATTGTGTACATGTGGCACATGTACACAAAATTAGTTCTTCTCATAGTCACAAGCATATAGATGTAGAAACAAAGGACTCTCAAATGTATAAGACTTGTTTACTCTGAAGTTGACATTCGCACTTCAGTTCCTGATACATAACTAAGATACTGTAAGCTAAGATAGTTTCAGCCATCTGAAAAAGCAACAGATTACACAGAAAGCTGTACAGAAATTCATACAGCACTAAAAAACATCTGTCCATGAGACACTGTGGTTGGCAGAATAGCTTCCTAAGTCCCACTAGATTTTCACTGACTGTAGTGGAAGTTCAGCCAAGTAGCTTAAATGTAGTCATCTCCGTTTAGATAGTAATTTCAAAATGAATCTCACCACTAATTTCCCTGAATAAAATTTATCTCTGATGGAATAATAACAAGAACATATATATTGTATATTGGGAATTTGATTCTCTGCATTAGTTCTACCACCTGTGAAATGGAAAGTATGTAATTAGCAACCTAATGAAACTATAATTTCATTTGAAAAATAAAAACTTTCCACATATAACATTAAGCATTTTTAACAAGCTGCATATTTAAAAGAACATAGCCGAAGAAACAGACTTCAACATTAGTGGGTCAGTCAATGAGGAAGGCCATTACGCAAGCTTTGCATAATTATGTTATGGTACTCAAAGGGTAATCTCAATAATTCTATGATGTGGCACTAGAACAAGGAATCTAGGTTATTGTAAGAAAATAACAGCAGTTTAGAGAATAGTGTCAACACATATTTTTGTTCCATCAAGCTAAAATGAGCTCTTCCACAAAACACCTCAGGAATTTGTCATACATTAATAAAGATATTTTTGATCTCCCAGGTTTGCAACCTTGACAATTTGTACATCATGTTTCAAACTTATGGACAAGCTCTTGAGAAATCACTTAATTATATATCTTTCAAAATTGCTTTTATCAGAATTTGCAGTAGATTTATTTCACACATTTCCAGTGATTTTTATTTCAAATACACAACCTGTGGTTTTCAATCATCATTCAGATACATTGCCCAAAGAGCTGCTGAAAAGACAGTGCAACATTCCTGCAGGTGCACAAGGCAGCCAAGCAGATTTCCATCAAGCGTGAGGGAATTTTCAAGCACCTGCATAAACCAGTTTTTCCTTAACTAAGAATTTACTTATCTTGAGTATACTTACACATCAAAGTTTAATCGTATATTATGCCATTTACAAGGTCTTCACATAATGATTCTGACATTAAGGCACTATTTTTGGAGGGGTTGAATTAAGCTGTTTCTAAGTGAATTACTTTAAGCGTGTGTATTGTGAAAAAATTTGCTTGTCACTTGTCCAGAGAGATCTGCAGTTTTGCCCTGTACCTGTGTTAGCATGGTTCTGGTGTATGGCTTCACAGAATCCTGACACAGGTCCAGGAACACTGGATACTAGAAGTTGTTTCAGCAAGTCTGGACATTTGTGCAGCCAAGCTGAACGCTACAAATCATCCTGGCACTAATTACACCTGAGACATAAAACAGTATTGAGACTCGCTTCAAATGACTAATTGAAATAGTACGTGTGAGCCACTGAGGGAATTTCTATATAAAAACATCATCTTAAAAGAACTATACGGAAGAACGTTTTTATTGGAAACTTAATTTTTGCTAGTAAAGAACAAGGCCCATAAATTTAAAGCATTCCCTATTGTGCTTGTATAATCCTAAGTGAGATACCCTTTTAAATGGGAAACTGTATCACTTGAATGTAAAATAGAGTACTTCTAAAATATAAGGTATTACTATTCTGCTGGTTCATCCCCATCATATTCATATTTATTATTTAGATTTATATTAAACCTTTAAGTACGAATAAAAGGTAGACAGAATGAAAATGAAATATCATGCTCCTACTAGATTCTCCACATCTCCAAACTACAGTATTTCACCTATCATAGACTTTCCCCTTTTTTCAGTATTTAGCCTGTGCAGTCTTCAGATCATAAAATATTTTAGCAAATCTACAGTACATATTATAGTAATAATAAATTTTAAAAAATTCTTAAAATCTAAATGATTTTTAGCAGCCTTTCCAACAGCACATTGTTCATGAACATAAAGGGTTTTTTTATGCAAAGATTCCCTATTTTGTTTAATCATTGCATATTTTTAAAAACATTGAACTGAAGAACAAAAAAATTATGGTGATATATTTTTTTAACTTGTGAATGAAGATAAAGCAGGAAGAAACTTCAACTATATTTTCTTTGGAATTATATTCAGAAGGTTAGTAGTAGACGTGACCAAACTCAATGGTCACTGTATTTGATTGGATTGTTGTTTTTTGTTTTTTGTTTTTTTTTAACTGCAGCTCTGCTAACTGTAAAAAGTCTCAAGTGAATTTTAATACTTGTTACATTTTTCTAACATGTAAGCAAATGGTTATATTAACACTGGTCACATTAGACAGTCTTTAAATATTATAATTCAGATATCACCACTGTAATGACTGCAGTGCTCATAATGAACACGGATAAACTACCTGTTATCTGTGTCTAAATCAACAGCATCCTCATAAACATGGATATAAGTATAAAAAATGAACTCTCACAATGTATTAGCTGCTGTAGTGTTTAGTAATAAAGAACTTGGAAATGGATATAGATGACAGAAAATTTGGCTGATATTTTTTAATAAATGAATTCATTTTTTGGTATACAATGTGTTATTTTTGCTATGAAACGTGACAATAGTTTCTTAAATCTACAATGGTGTG